TAAAAATAATGCCCTAAAATATAATACTTTTAGACTATTCTCTCCCCCATAGACTTCAATGCCGTAAACATATTAAATCAAATTTCTTTTTTTAAAATGCATTTTGACATCTTTGGGGTAAGTTTGGTTCCTTTAGTGTTTTCCCTTGTTAATCTGTGCCGTCCAGTGGGAACAGGCTTAACACTGACCCTCCAGTGGCTTTTCAGAAGCTGTAAATCACATGGGAAATTGCTATTTTTCTCCTTTGAAGCAACTGGTGGATTCAAACTGCCTACTTTTGGGAGCCAACAAAGGCACTTGAAATGAAGGACAGTGGCATGGCTTTGAGGTTGTGCACAACTGAGAAAGGATTTGCCTGAAATTATGCAGCCAGATGCTTCCTGTAATTCTTTTATGTTACAAGGAGCACATCATAATTAGGTTATGAATACTATTACTTAGGACTTGGGTCTTGCAATGAATATGGCCTTTCCAGTTAGTCTTCCGTTTTGTAAATTCTAGCCCTTTTGTCTGTGCTCTCTCTGTAGCAGGTTCTTTGTTGTATTAATGATGTGGGGTTAGGGTAGAGTATGTCTTTTCTTGAATATCCACCTTACTCGAAGGTAGGCTTCAAGTCACCACCTCTCTCGGAGGTGAAGTTATAGATCTGATATAGAGGAACATTCTTGGAAGGCTTCACCCTTTTTTTTTTTCCCTTGTAAACAGCTTTATTCATTTTTGAGAATCATGCAGCAATCCATAAATATTGCATCCTTGAGGTCCTCACTGTAAGGTGCCCGCAGGTGTCCTTCAGGGAGTAGAGGGGGGCTTCACCCTTTTTGCTTCAGACACTTCATCTAACATGACTGAGCTGCTGTGAGAGCCACAACCTGGAAGTTTGAGGCCCGCTCCCCACCAGTCTGCTACCATGAGTGAGTGTCAGCCTATACCAGCCACCCTTCCAGGCTGATCGGTGGATGTGGGACTTGCTGCCTCAAGCTTAGTAGCCATTTCCTTGATCGTTTTTAAGTTTCTGTGATACTCTCCAGGAAATTACAGACTTCTACAGGACTGAGGGCTGAGGGAAGGAGGAATAATTAATGTTAGAGATGATAAAGTGCTACACCACTTTGGGAAGAATTTGGCATCTGGGATTTCTTACCTACCTTACAGAAAGAAACCAGCTTACAGTTAAATCTGTAGTTAAGATGCATAAAGAAGGGGGCTAAATGGCACTAAAAGCAGGTGATCTCAGAATCCCCATGTTCCCTTTAAACTAGATTCATGCTGCAGAATGGGCCGATAAACCTTGGCAGGCATCAGCCAGCCTTCTGATGGACTTAGGTTTCTCTCAAATATTTTTTCCTTGCTTTCTTATTTTTCAGCTGCATTACATATAATGGTTTTTACATTATGTGTAACAATTTTTTTTATTATGCAGATTTTTATACTTACCTTCATTGACTTTATGTTTCATACCAACGCTGTCTCATAAGGACAGATACTGCATAAGATTATTATTGTAAAAATAGAAGGATAACTAGTAAAATGTGTTTGGGGGTACAAGGGGTAAGAATAGAGGGGTGAGGATGGGTAGGGGGCAAATCACAAGGTCACACAATATAGTGGGTGAAGGGAAGGGAGAAGGTAAAGGAAATGGGAAAGATTGAGCGAGGGCCCAAAAAGACGGGGTAATGGTAGGCATAGCCCAATGGTGATTAATTTTATAAAACACAATGTATGCAAATAAAGTTAATTTTACTCTATTTTGAATGGGAAGAACATTGGACCACTCTTCTAAGGATGCTAGATATCCTTTGGAATGTATGTTAGTACAGTGAAGGAAAATGATTGGCATCAATTATATTTTCTAAAGATTCCATTGTTCTTATTTGCCTATTATGTTGAAATTATAAAAGATGCCATATAATTCCTGCCCTTGTATATTTGAAATGTGTTTTTAACAAAGAAATTGGGGCAGAAATGACACTCTTGCAGAGGCTGTCATAAAAGATTAGACCGCAGAGCTGC